TACAGGCTGTGTACCCGGAATCACATCAATGGTGAACTCAATCTCTCTATCAATCAAATCCCCTGGCAGATCATCTGGAAAAACATCTGGGAATTCTTTGACTATAGAAATACTATCCACATTAGTTTTATCATCAGTAGGTACAGTCAATACAGAACATAGATACCCTTTACACCCCTTTCTAATCAGTTTGAAAGCTTTCATAGATGAAATTAGATACGGGGGAGGTACTACTCCAACCCCGTTAAACACAAATTCAGGCAGTCCAGGTGGACGGAAAACAACTTATTTTGTTACACAATCTATGGTAGCATGGTATTTTGTTAACCAATCCATTCACAATATCACATCAAAATGATCTGTATTCAATGGCAGTAAATCAATATACAAATGTGCCTCTCCAACAATGATTTCACATGCAGGGTACATATAGGCACAAGTCATAGATCCCCCAACAGGTGAAGATACAGCTAACAAGTAACTCATGGGTTTCAATGGTCTATTCAATTTTCACGAAAAAGCATACGATACATATGAATGCGTAGACCCCGAATCAATCAGTACATAAGCATTTTGAGCACAAATTGAGAGGATACCTGACACGACGGTCTTGGTATTTTGTACGTCTCCCGGTACGAGTGCGAACACTCGGCCTTGCCTCATAGGCTCTTTTCCAGTCGCTTTAGGGTTGGGTTTTGGTCGAGCAGTTGATGCTGCGCCGCTGGCTGCAGCTTTACTATTGCCCCAAGGAGTGGAAGGGCAATCTTTGACCATGTGGTCCACCTTACCACACCTGTAACAAGCACCAGATAATTTGTAACAAACCCCTTTGTGTTTCTTACCACATTCAGAACAGGGCGGTATGGAACCACTTCCCTGACTGGAACTGGTGGTTGACCCTGAGTTTTGCTTTTTGTTCAGTGGGTTGTTTCCGCATTTCTTGAATTTAAAACCCTGTTTCTTCCCGCGCCACTCAGTTGCGGGTGAGTCAGTCTATTTCAGTGCTTCAATATTTGCTTCTGCCATAATGGCTCGGGCAAGAACATCCACATATTTCAGTAATTTCAGTACATTGATCCTGTCAAGGATTTCTACATTGAGGCCACCTTCAAACTTCCTGGCCTTCTTGTAGTCGGTGTCCACCATGTGTGGTGCATATCTAGCAAGTTCGGTGAACTTTGTTTCATACTCTCCCACGGACATGGCGCCTTGTTTCAGTTGTTCGAACTCGGTCACCTTTCTGTCCCTGACACACTGTGGGAAGTACTTTTCAAAGAAGGACTCCTTAAATTGAGCCCAGGTCATGACAGTATTTGTATCACGGATTAACATCCACCACCTTCTAGCTTCAGAACATGGAAACACTTCAAATAACTTTTCAGTCTCAAGAACCCATGCTTCAGCTTTTAACGGTTCAAGGCCTCCCTGAAAGGACGGCGGTTTCATTTTACTGAACTTTTGGGTGAGAGCAATTATGTCCCCATCATTAACATTCACATTCTGTTCCAACTGCACCGGAGGAGGAGGTGGGGGCTGTTGATTCTGTTGTTGATCTAGTCTTTCAGTTATTAGTTCCATCATTCTTTCTAGTCTTGTCATTCTTGTCTCAGAAGATGAGGATTCAGATTCATTTGCAGTTATTGCATTATCCATTTCACTATAGGCAGTCATAACAGTTATCAACATAGGCAGTCATTTGTTTAAACAGATTAACATATTAGCATATATTCAGTCATGTCATTGCCACACACTTATCATGCTCATGTAATGCCCTAATCGCTTTCCTAGGACATCCTATAGCTCGTTTGGACACGTGTGTGCGGTATAACTCGTGGTAAGTATCGCTCTGATACCACTCTGTCACGACCCAAACCCGCCCCTATGGGTTTAGCACCGTAACCGGCCAGTAATCCGAGATTACCGAAGGCCTGCTTAATAGTAATACAGTAAAACGGAGTACAGGGGCATGCGGAAGCCAATACAGTAAATAAACAATGTCCAATGAGCTGTGACAGTCTGTATGCCAAAAAGACTTTTCATATATATATATACACAGTGTAGAACATTATGTACAACATTTATAATCATTCAGATCAGGGACCTAATCCCTATAAAATAGTACAGTAACAGTCTATACAGTCTACAAAACAGTTACAGAGACAGACGGGGGAAATTGAAACACCCCTAAACCATAGCTTGACAAGCTCGGAACCTCGCAGTGAGGCACAGTGGTTGGCTTGACAAAACTGGAGCTTATCCCGACGCTTCTAGCCGCGGTCTGGTGCCTGTACACCTACATATATATATGAGCAGTGAGCTAAAGCCCAGTGAATAACATAAAAATAACAATAACGATAACAATACGAGTACTACTACTATTACTACTACTACTACTACTACTACTACTACTAATAATAATAATCATAATAATAGTAATAATATCCAATGTTGCTGGAGAGCTGAGGACTTACTGCTTTATTTTACTCTTATGTGTTGTCTCATGCTCTAGTAATTAACCTAAGAGTTATAGAGAAATCTTGTATCTAAATGTCATCTTCAGTTTTATGACTTGTTCTGCTTTCAATTCTGTATGACAACTATCAAACTTTAATAAAGATAGATCTCAAAGCCATATTGACTTATATTTTCCATATTTGTGTCTAGCAAATCTCCAGCTTTTATTATGTTGTGCATGGTTTCAAAGAATATTTGAATTATTGGAGTGGAATGGCAAAAAAAGATTCACGTAGCCAACCCTAGTTGATTGGGACGCAGGCTTAGTTTGCTTTGGTTCGTAAACTATTAGACATTATCTTTCTTTCTGACTTTTTCGTTAGCTATTCCCACCCTCTTCCCCATTTTCTCAAGAATGCCTAATTCTGTTTTTGTTTTTGATTTTTGGGTTAAATCTGGTTGATATTTGAAATACACAGCCATTGATAGACCTATTACAGAGCTTAATTAATCATATTTCACTTATGTTTCTGGATCTGTAGTTCATCTGTTTTAATTACCATGTATTATGCATCTATTTGTAAATGAATTTTTTTGTAAATATTCTGCAGGATAAAATTTGTTCAAATCAACATGCATTGTTTCCTATCATCGAACCTAGCCAAGTGCAATCTATATCCTCTACTGATTATGTGAAAATACCTACTGATGGAGCTGATGTCTGGGAAATTGATGCTAGCCTGCTGAAATTTGAAAGCAGCGTTGGATCTGGTTCATTTGGTGATCTGTGAGTTTTGTCACTCTCAACCTATTTCTGATTGTGTCTGAGCTGTCAGTATATCATATCATTTGTCTTCTTCAGGTATAAAGGCACATACTGCAGTCAGGAGGTGGCTATCAAAGTCCTCAAGCCTGATCTTGTGGATAAAGATATGCTGAGAGAGTTTGCCCAGGAAGTGTTCATTATGAGGTCTGTT